AGATACGTTTTTCTTACAACTCTTACGAAAGCATCTCCATTTTGTCTTCCTGTCGAACTTCATTTCATGACCTTCATCACATCATTTCACCTTTACAATTATCCCGGCGTCTTGAAAATATTTGATAGCCTCTTCTTCTGAAGTCGGCAATTCCCACAATGTAACAACATCCATTTCAATAACGCACTTATCTTAAGTTCAATCAATAAACGCACACACAACAGCTTATATGAGATAAAAAGGCAAGTTATGTGACGTAACATAAGATAAGAGAAGAAGGGAGGTTTACCCAGAGACCATGTCGTTCACAAGTACCCAAATATCTTTGTTGGACCGACAGATCATGTAGATCAGGGTACACATTCTATTAATTTTATTCTCCAAACTACGGCCCGGCCCGCAATTTGGTCAAAAGATTTGAATACGGCCTGTTGCAGGTACTGAAGGTATAAATGTGGCCCAAAAATCAAAAAGTTTGGAGACTCCTGTTAGAGATCATTGCTATCAGAACCACCTTTTTCCACCTCTTGCTATCTTCAGCTATTACTTTCCAGTTGTCTATATATAGCTCTGTAGAGTCTTTGTTGATTTAATCTACCCATCTGCTTTTTTGCCAACTAAATATGATCAATTATTATATCATAAATAAGAAACTTTTTTAATTTTCTCTACTTTTATTTTTCTACCTACCTTGACTTTCAACAATACAGGATTCTAATTTTATTCTACACAATAATTCATTTTTTTTTTTAAATGCTCGATTTTGTTTAGGAAGGGAGCAGGGTAGCTCAGTGGTAGGGCACTCAGGCTCCAATGCTCAAGGTATCAGGTTCGATTCCTGGCAGAAAAATTATTTATGCAGTTTCATTGGTCATGGAGCGACCCTGGGGTAGAGAAACCCTCCTGGGGCACACGCAGCCTCTATAAAGTGGGTACCCTTAATTAAATAATTGATTAAGGAGGAAAACCTAGTGGCTGAGCGTTATCCTGGCTCGATCCCTTCCGTGCACAGCTGTTGACCTTGAAACAGTACTTTTCCTAAATAGTACTGAACCCAAGACTCTTCATGGGTTGTAGTGGTACAGGATTGTTTTTGTTGTTATTTTTTAGGAATTCTGTTATAGGAAAGGCTAATTTAAAAAATTAAAAAAAAAAAATTCTGTATATATACAAAGAAACTATCTTGCTTCCAACCAACATTGATTCCCAAAAGTTTCCATTGCTCACTGCACACCAGAGATGAGCATCTTTATAATCAAAAATATAAATACAAATACCATTTATACTTATGGCAGGCACTTTTGAATATAAATATATTTATATTCATAAAAAGAAACACGAATACAGATGATAAGTATTCACAGCTGTAAATATAAATACGGCCATATTCACCACTTTAAAAGTGAATACGGCTGTATTTACAGTTGTACAAGAGAATACAGCTGTATTCACATTTATTAAAATGAATACGCTTCAATTTACAGAAGATAATGGAAATATTTTCACACAACCTTATGAATGAATGAACCCTTATTTATTACATAAATTTTAATTTATTTGTTACTTAAGGTATTTTCAAAAATAAAGAAAAAAATGTATGCAAAAATTGAAATAAAGTTCTGGACAGCAAGGAGTTTATTAAATAAATCTCTTAAAAAATATTGGAATAATGTTAAGAGAATGGTATTTGATAACTCGAAATGATGTATACATAAATGTTTAATTTTATTAAAAATTAAATTATAATTATGAGTATGTTAAGATTATTTGAATTGATCTAATCTAAACAGATTTGAATATATATGTAAATGTATATATATAAACATTGGTTATTATTATTCGCAAATGTTAAAAATAATAATAATAATAATAATAAATAAAATAAAATCATATGCTAATAAAGTATGGAGTGTTTTAAAACCAAATAGAAGTATCATAAATTGTTTTTTAATCACTTTCTACAATTTTTCTAATTAAAACATAAAATTATAATACATTTTATTACATTAATTATTATATGTGGAACATACTCTGATAAATGTTGCATTTTTAAATGTTTGAACTAAAAAGAAATATTTTCTTGTAAAAATAATTAATCACCTGGTGCACAAGTCACTTATCAATTACACAGGACATTTTAAACATAAAACGCGAACCGAATTAAATTTATGTATTTCTTGTGAAATCACTTTCATCGCCAGATCTCTCACATAACCCAACTGCCAAGCTGTTTTCCGAGCTTGGTTATTCCGTCAATCCAAGTTTTCCGTGCACGTCCTCTTGGCATCTTTTCTGTGGGTCTTGCCTCAAAAAATTTTCTGGGTTCCCTGTCCTCGTCCATCCTCATAACATGACCAAACCATTTGAGTGGTTTCTTTTCCACAGTTTCCAGTATTGGTGGCCCTTTTTCTCTAATACGTTCGTTTCGGATACAATCTCTTCTAGTTTTCGGCCAGCTACTCTTCTCAGATATTTCATTTCGGCAGCGGTAAGTTGATTTTTGTGAATATCTAGAAGAACCCAGCTCTCACTACCGTACAGTAGGGTTGGAAGGTAGAGTGTATTGTATATATGGATCTTAGTTATGTTTTCAACCTCTCGTTTTCCTAAGACCTTGTTGCAGATCTGGTAATAGAGGCCATTTGCTTTTTTGATCCTGTTTAATATCTCTTGATCTATTTTTCCATTTCTACCAACAACTGTCCCTAGGTATGTATATTCCTCTCTCAACTCCAGATTCTTACCCCTGCAGTTTATTTGTATGTCTTCGATTTCTCGACCTATCTGAATAATCTTACTTTTTTCTTCGTTTATGATCATACCTTTTCTCTCAAGCTCAGCTTCCCATTCCACAATCGCTTGCTGTAATTTTGCGGATGAGTCTGTTATGAGGACAATATCATCTGCGTAAACGAGAGCTTGGGCTAGCATTGTTCTCATATTCCATTTTCCTATAATTGTTCTTCCAGTCCTACGTTTACAGATTTTCAGAATCTCATCCATAAACATAATATATAGTAGGGGGCTGAGACTGTCGCCTTGTTTGACCCCTTTGTCCATATTAAAGCTGTTTGATTCCTTCCCATTGATCCTTACTATACCCTTAGAATCTTTATATGTCGATTTTATTGCTTGGATAAGGTCTCCTGGGATGTTCTTATTTTTCAGTGCATTCCTTATTTCTTCCCTTGGCACCAAATCAAAAGCTGCTTTTATATCTAAAAAGGCCAAATACATATTATTGTCACGTTCCCGTGCTTTTTCTATAATTGTCCTTAGAGCAAAGATGTGGTCTTGATGGTCTGAAAGCTGCCTGTTCTCCTTCCAATTGATTTTTCACCAAGCATCTCAATCTTACTCTTAAGAATCGATGTATACAATTTGTATACAACCTGAGACAAACAGATAGCCCGGTAGTTTTGGCGTTCGCTTTGACTCCCTTTCTTGAATATGGGTATTATTATATTATATTCCCAATCCTTGGGTATCCATCTTGAATCTTGGATTCTTATTCCAACTCTTGGCAACTATTTGCATTGATTTTCAATCATGAGAAGTTGAGTTTTGTCTATTTTCTTATATTTCTTATGGGGATTTTTCCTGAACTAAATAATTTGGGTGTCAGCAACTAATAACAGCTGGTCAGATCCTATTTCAGCTCCTCTTATTACTTTCACATCAGTAAAAAATCTTCATATTTGTCTACTATAGACAAAATAGTCTATGATGCTATCTGCATTTCTTCCATGGGTGGTATATGTAATTTTGTGAACTTACAGTGAAGTTATGTTCATTGCCATCAGCACCAATAAGTAAACAGTGCACCGGAAGGACGAAAGACGCGGATTTTCCATTTTGGGGATAGGAAGAGGGAGGGGCGAAGGATACTTCCAAAAAAAGGTTTCAGAAATTTATATTACATATAAAAATTACGAGTAATAATTAACATAACAAAATACATTGTAACATAATTAAAATAACATATAGTAAAACAAAGAATATAATACATAAAAATAAAATGATTATATGATAAATAATTTTTTTTTGTGTGTATATGGTTGTATTTGAAAATGTGTTAACAAACCACAACTAAATATGTTTCATAATTTTATTTGTATTTAAAGATTTGAGTCAGTGAGATGAACTTATCACTTCACATTTGCTACCGGAAATGTAATAAAATCTCAACGTAAAAATTAAAGAATGTCATTAATTAATCATAAAATCTTAGGATATGTTGCTATATATAATTATCATTGAATATTAACTAAAATTTCTATAATAAGAATATAGAACATGTTAAAATACATATGTATATCTAGGCATTACCTTAGTCATCTAGTCGACTTTTCCAATTTCCTTAATTGACTTTAGATTACATAATTAGGAACCTCTTAAGATCTTAAAATATACATAATTATAATTTTATGTTTAATAAAATTAAACATTTATGTATACATCATTTGGAGTTGCAAGTACCAACTTTTTAACATTATTCCAACATTTTTAAAGAGATTTATTTATAAACCCCTTACACTGTCCACAACTTTATTTTAATTTTTGCATACTTTTTTTGCTTTATTTTTGAAAATAACTAAAGTAACAAATAAATTAATATTTATTTGATAAATAAGAGTATTCATTCATAAAGTTATGTGAAAATATTATCATGCACTTCTGTAAATTTAACCGTATTCATTTTAATAAACGTGAATACAGCCTTGTTCACTTGTACAACTGTAAATACAGCCTTATTCACTTTTAATGTGGTGAATACAGCCGTATTTATATTTAGAGCTGTGAATCCATATCATCCGTATTCATGTTTCTTTTTATAAATATAGATGGTATTCGTATTTATATTTTTTAATATAAATATGCCCTTCTCTGCTGCACATATCAATATAGAATATGTACTATAATTTGTAAAAGCTATGAAATGAGATAATAAAGGTGTAATTAACACTACATTATAATAATACTTATTTGAAATTTCTTACTTTAACCAAAGCACCAATAACTCCAAGGGATGTAAGTCTGAGGTATTCAAAGGGCCTCGTCTTCGAAACGGTGTGTAAAAATGGATATAAAAACAATGGAATATGTGCTTGCAAAAATGCACTTCTTGTATCGGGGTGAGAAGCTACGCATTGAAGTAAAGCAAGCGCATTACACACTCTATTAGACTGATGAGCAGTTAATGTAGCTGGGTTAATAACTGGATAAATGTTAATAATTTCTTGAAGAAGAGCAACTGTTGTTCCAAATGAATGCCATAGCATAGGGGCCAGATCAGGAACAACTTCCCTCTTTTTGCTGCAATAAACAATCAGATAATGGTAACAATCAATAAAGAACATATTGGTACAACATTCACAATTGTCAATCCAATATGGCCATACGGCCAAGGCATACTAGTAGATGGCATTCTAAAAGTAGTCAAGTGTGTCCAAAAGTATAAGGAAGGCACTTTTCCTCAAGACTTTTCTTTGGAATAAAGTATGGAATGTATTTGATAATGAACTAAAAATCTAAGAGCATGGTGAAAAGACATTCATGATTTAAATTAAGCAGTGCTAATTAATTAATAATTTTAATGACCACTTAAAATCCAAATTAAGATAGCATTGTGTATAAGTAAGGACACACCAATGAACATGGTTATTAATACTCAGTCACTTTCGAAATACCATCTACAGATACTGGACAAGCCGCTATGTTTGAAAGACTTGTAAAGTAGAATAAATATATTGAATTGACTAACAAAATTTAAAAATAATTGAAGTACATTAGATAGAATCAGAAACAACTAATGCTTGCTTCTCTAAAAAAAATTATACGGAACAAGTTTTATTTTTAATCTTGACCTAGACATTCACATGTCAAAGCTAATAATACTTTATCATTACTTCATTACAATAATTCGCTGTCTCTAAGCGAACTATTTCTACATCTTTTCCTAATTCTTGTAATCTCAGAAAAACTAAGAGGTCTGTGAATAGTTCTACGAGTTTTGGAAACATTTTGATTCCCTCTACTGGAACTGTGTTGACAATCATTCTCTCTAAAAAATGTTTCCACATCTATTTCATTAGGATCTCTCCCATAATAATTTATCAATTCGGTAATTATATATGTAAATCGACAGAAACCAAAAGAACATGCAGAAATGATATTGTTAAAGGTAATTCAAATAGAAAGGGCAGAAAGAACTCAAGAATGGTTAGTTTTGGAAAAAAGAAAGAAAAATAACCACCTTAGTTGTAGGAGAGCATTTTCCCTTGTAGCTGAATTGGAAAGTTCAGAAACCCACTGATAAATACTTTCACGATCTACATTTTGAGGCTGTAGAGGTGGGCTGGGCTGGGCACACATTATCGGCTAGAAATCAAATAAACTACATAAGAAATACAAAATGAATGCAAACAAAGAAAATATAATTAAGCATATATAGAATAAAAAATAATCTATTATTGTATTAGAAATTACGAACCATTATTATACCAAGATTTACCACATTTGATGTGAACTAAATAAAATTGTGAGATGAGAATAACATGACTGAAGGTATTATAAACCTGCACCTGCCGGTGCCTCTTAAATAGAAAATAGCAGAGCAGTGACAGCACCTTGCTACAAAAAATAGATAGTCTACACAAAATTTTAATAAATAAATATTATTTTCAACAAGTGTTTAATTTTTATATTTATGTGTCTATGTAAATTACATATGTATATGCACGGGCGGATCTACGGGGGAGGGGGGGGGGGCTTTCGGGCTGAAGCTCCCCCAAAATGGTAAAATAAAACCATGTTTTATCGAAAAAAATATTAAAAAAGTATCTCTTAAAGTATTATTATTCGTGTAATTACATTTAAAAGGGCTTTAGGAATAACTTAAACACCATTTCATACAGGTAGTTAGTTTCTTTCTTTTTTTCCAAAGTAATTATCGTTATTTTTATGAAAAAAAAACCTTTCGGGTTGAAGCCTCCCCCAAAAATAAATCCTGGATCCGCTAGTGTGTATATGTACTTCTACTAAAAGTAGTGAACCCGAGACAATGTATTTGTATGTATGTAATAATACCCTAAACCTATATAGTTTACTACCGTTAACGTCTGTGTGTATAGGGCCCCTTATAATTAGATCAATATCGAGTTTTGTCAATATATTGACCGTGCAAGGGCTGTATTGAGCAATATTAAACCTAGGCACTAACGGATCCAGGATTTGATTTTGTGGGGGGCTTCAGCCGGAAAGTTTTTTTTTTTTGTATAAATATATTAGGATAATTACTTCGGAAGAAAGACTAATTACCTATATGAAATGGTTTTTAAATGATTATTTACGTTCTATTAACTGTAATTAGACGAACAATAATACTTTTAGAGATCAATTTTTTCATTAAACATGGTTATATTTTACCATTTGTTTGGAGGGGGGAGGCTCCAGCCTCCCCTCCCCGTAGATCCGCCCGTGGACCTAGGGATTAATTATCAAATTAACAATTTAAGATACATAAAGGCCTTCAAATACCAACAATTAACGACCACATACGGACAGACTACAAAAAATGTCACGATAACTTACATAGACAAACTATCTCACTTATACAAAGCATGACTACATTTAACATGGCCGAAAACACACTCAGGAGGCTCAAAAGAAGCTAGATGAGGAATTTTTTTCGCATAAAATATGTTAAATTCAAGACAGTGAGGGATGCCCCTGGGTACTCATCCCCCTCACGCCGATCAAGCCACTACCTGTACTTTAGCCCACTAGGTAATTTTAGGTAGTGGAAGCCCTTATCTCAACTCACTAGATTATCTGATTTGGTCCGAACTGGAGAGGATGGCACGCCACAGAGTACACCCTAACTTGGAGAGCATCAAAAAATCTCTGGTCCGCGCAGTTGAGCGCTTTTCTCAAGAAGAGCTGCATGCTGCTATTGATGCCTGGCCACGGAGATTAAATGTCTTGTGTCAAGGCAAAGTGGCGACATTTTGAGTCTTTTTTTTTTTTTTTTTTACTCTCTTTATAAATATATATTTTATTTTCTAGTAAAGTTTTGGAAAAAAATATTTTTTTTCTATTGAAATCTGTATATATTTCCTTGTAACAATAATTATGATAGGACTAGGTGGTATGCCCGAGAACTCCAGAAGACGTCTGAAAAGGGCCTTGATGAGGCATCTACTTAAATAATGTTTTAGTAAATAAAAGCCATAGAAGAGCAATTTTTTTTCTCATCACATCAGCACATCTGCTAATTGTCGATAGTTGTAATTGACAGGTGCGGATAAATAAATTGAAGTGCAAAAAAAAAGTTCATAAAATTTGAAAATAATTTGTGTCCAAGAAGAGGATATGATCTATCAATAGCCAATTAGACTATCGATAGAGCTATCGTTAGTTTTAAACTATCGATATGTCGATAATACTATCGACTATCAGCCATCCCTAAATCAAACCGCATCTATATGGATCTTGAGAAGCTCTGGGCGATACCAAATTTCCGATGTCCATCTTGGCAATACGTTTAAAGAGGGGGGGTGATAATTTGTTTTACATTTTTAACTTTTTTTTTTGGAGTGGCGGGTGTAATCGATTTTTTTTAAAAGATAAAATGGAAATATGTTTGTGTAGGTGGATGATAATTTCTTTTAATATTTTTTTTTTTTTTTTTTTTTTTTTTTGGAGGAGAGGAGGGGAAGAGGGGTTTATTCCTCTCTCCGAATTTTTTTTAAAAAGATAAAATGGATATATATGTGTGTAGGTGGATAATACTTTGTTTTACTTTTATTTTTTATTTTTGAGGTGTTATAACTCAGTAAAATAGACACCCATACTGTTGAAATATTGAAAATCACGTTAACCAATTTCTAACCATTGAAACAAATTTTGGTCGGAGCAATTGACCCACATTCAATTAGTTGGTACTCACTAGACGAAAAATGTGATGCTCTACAACTTAGATTCTATGAGTTTTCCTATTAAGGAACTCATTTCCAAGTTTCAGGGTCATTTACAGTAATTTTTCTCAGTTTTTGACAAATTTGGTCAAAATCAGCGTTGGTTGAGCGTGTTTTTATACCTTACCACGTAACTAAATTATAAGTTTTATATACTCATTCGACACGCAATTTAACGTTCTTTAATTTATTAATAAAAACTACCGCGAAACTACATGAAAATAATTGTAGGTGACGCCAACGCAAAGGTAGGAAGGGAAGAAGTTTATATTCCGACGATTGGTAAAGAAAGTTTGCACGAATATAGTAATGATAATGGGATCCGTCGGATAAACTTTGCCATCTCGAAAAACCTGATAATTAAAAGTACGACGTTTAAACATAAGGATATTCATAAATATACTTGGACATCACCGGATTCGCAAACACGAAATCAAATCGATCATGTCTTGATACAACACAGCTGGCAAAGCAGTATAATTAATGTACGGTCTTATCGCGGAGCAGAATGTGGGTCGGATCATGAATTAGTAATCGCGAAACTTCGACAAAAACTTAATATAAAAAAGAGAAAAGAAAACCGTTTCGATTTTGAGAATTTTAATTTGGAAAAATTAAAAAATCCATCAATTAGAAACCAATTCGAGCTAGATGTTAAGAATAGGTTTGAAGCTTTAGAGCTTCCTGACGAGGACCACGAGGATATTGACAAGTTATGGGTAGAGATCAGGGATAATATTAAAGCGGTCGGTAACTCGTGTCTAGGAAAAAAGGAAAATAAGAATAACAAACCGTGGTTTGATGAAGATTGCTTAAACATGTGCGAAAAAAGAAAAGCCGCTAAATTAAAAGCTCTAAATAATCCTAGCGAAGACAATCTGGAATACTTCCGAACCTCAAAGAACGAAACGACAAAATTGCTCAAAAATAAAAAAAGGGAGTATCATAAAAATAAAATAATTGAAATAGAAACTAATAGAATCGAAAATAACGTAAGAGACATGTACAAAGGTATAAACAAATCACGTAAATATGTAGGGCCCGTAACGTCTGGAATTAGGGATGATAATAACAATATTCTGACCGATCCGGTTGACATATTGAATAAGTTTAAGGACCACTTTGACAATATTTTAAATACGGGAAATTATGATCTGTGTCCTCCTTCTGAGTACCAGAGTGCTGAACCGTTAATAGAAGGACCAAGTAAAGAGGAAGTTGAAGTAGCTATCGGAAAATTAAAATCATATAAAGCAGCGGGAATCGATAATATTCCTACTGAACTAATTAAGGCATGCGGGGAAGCTGGAGTTTCTAAAATACATCGGTTGGTTAAAAAGATCTGGGTGAACGAGAAATTACCTGAAGAATGGAAAGAATCTATTCTTATTCCGATTCACAAAAAGGGTCCGAGGACGGATTGTAATAACTATCGAGGAATTTCACTCCTTCCGGTATGTTATAAAATATTCACTTTAATCTTAACCAGTCGAATCACGGAATACGCCGAGGAAATTATCGGAGACTACCAATGCGGATTTAGACGGAATCGTTCGACAATTGATCAAATATTTTCTTTACGGCAAATATTAGAGAAAAAATTGGAGTATAACGGTATTGTTCACCAGCTGTATATAGATTTTAAAAAGGCTTACGATTCTATTGACCGCCAGAAACTGTATAATATTCTAATTGAGCAGGGGATTCCAAAAAAACTAGTAAATCTAGTCAGGATGTGCTTGACGGAGACACTCAATAAAGTTAGAATCTGTAATAATTTGTCCGAAAAATTTGAGGTTCGTTCGGGCTTAAAACAGGGGGATTCTCTTTTGCCTGTCCTGTTCAATTTGGCATTAGAACATGCTATTAGGGAGGTAATGCGAACCGAGAAAGGGTTGGATCTGGGCGGGACAACATCCGTGCTGGGCTATGCTGATGATCTGGTACTATTAAGCGAAGACGTTGAAACTATAAAACTAAATACGACAACGTTAATGAAAGCCGGTAAAGAACTAGGATTCGAAATAAACGTGGATAAAACAAAATATATGGTTAGCTGCAAAAATGGCGATACTACTGGTGATATCGATATAGATGGTAATATGTTTGAACAGGTAGATAAATTTAGGTATCTAGGTTCTACGATAACTAGAAAAAACGAAATTGAAGAAGAGATTAAGGTTAGACTGAAGGCGGGGAATGCTTGTTATTTTTCTGTGACAAAACTACTTAGTTCGCGCCTCTTGTCCCGAAACTTAAAAATTAGAATCTATAAAACAATTATCTTGCCTACAGTTCTTTATGGATGCGAAACTTGGCCGCTTACATTAAGGGATGAGCAGCGTCTTAAGGTTTTTGAAAATAAAGTATTGCGTAGAATATTCGGACCGAAGAAGGATGAGTTAACCGGAGAGTTCAGACGGTTACACAACGCCGAATTGCGTGAGCTGTATCCGGATAATATAATTGAGGTAATTTCATCGCGGCGAATCAAATGGGCTTGTAAAGTTGTTGGGTTTAGTAACGAGAGAATTCCTAAAAGGTTAATATTTGCTGTGCCGAATGGTAAGCGTCCGAGGGGTAGACCGAAGCGAAGGTGGGAAGATTGCAT